GTGGGGATGTTTGGAGAAATTGGGTTTAGGAGGGGGGGTAGTGAGGTGGGTGCGCACGCTGTATGAGGGGGCTGTAATGAGGGTGCAAGTTAATGGTAAGCTGGGGGAGGGCGGTGATGATGGAACAGGGATTAAGGCAGGGTTGCCCGCTGTCACAGTTGCTTTTTGCATGCGTGCAACATCCTTTCTTTGAGGCTGTGGACGAGGAATTGAGGGAGGTGGGGGGGGGAAGTATGGGGGGCATAGTAGGTTATGTGGATGATACAACTGTGTTAGTTATGAGTGGGGAGGCTTTACGTAGGGTGGGAGAGGTCATTAGGAGCTTTGGGAATGTTTCAGGAATGGTAGTTAATTTAGCAAAGTCTAGGTTATTGGAAGTAGGAACATGGGTTGGGGGGAGATTGGGGGAGGAGATGGGATGGACGGTTTTTGATAGAATTAAGGTGTGTGGGATATGGTATATGAAGCAATTGCAGGAATGTAGGAGGATTAACTCAGAAGCAGTCACGAGTAGGGTTATAGGCAAGTTAAAAGGTTTGAGGGCCAGTGAAGTGGCGTTACAGCAGAGGGTGTTGGTAATTAATTCGGTGGTGTATAGCAAGGTCTGGGGTGTAGCGGAGGTGTTCCCTTTGAGGGTGCAGGATATACAGGAAATACAGAGGAGGGTGTTGAGGTTTGTGTGGGGGTTTGGGAGGGCCTGGTTGTCCAAAGATGTGGTCATGACGGAGGTGAAAAGGGGGGGGTCTAGGTTTGTTGGACTTAGGGCCTAGGGTAATGGTATTATATATTAAGCAGAGGTATTTAAGGGTGGGGGGGAGAGGGGTGTTAGGGTGGATAGGGTGATGAGGGATGCTAGAAACTGGTGGAGTGGTAGGGATTTGAGAAAGTGTGAAGATGTAATAAGATTCATGTTGGCAGGGGCAGGTAAAAAGGTTGAAGGTAAAAAGCAGTGGTGGGTGTGGTGTGGGGAAGGGGTGCATTGCAGGGGGTCGCAGTATACCCCATGTATAACTGAAGGGTCATATGGAAGGAGTTCAGGACGCTTAGGATACCAGCAAGGGTTAGGGAGTTGGTGTATCGTTTTCTAATGGGTGTGGTGGCATCTAAGTATATGTTGCATAAGATGGGGTTTGTTAGAGAGGCAACATGTTTATTCTGTGGAGAGGAGGAGACGGCATATCATGTGGTATATTTTTGTTCATCTTTGGAAGTGGTGAGAGTCTGGATGGCGGGGGTTATTAGGCTGTTGGGGGGGGGGGGAGTTGGTCTTTTCTTAGATCGTTGTCAATGGATGTTAGTGGGGTAGCAAGTGAGGTGGGTAGGGCTTTGATGTATGTCATGGCAGATTATTTGCATGTTTCTTGGGGTATGAGGCAGATTGCAGGGCAGTTGAGGATAAAAGCGTTAGCAGCGAGGTTTTATAGGACAAGGTGTAGGAATAGGTTAATATATGGGGGGAGATGGGATTCAAGTTTTTCGTTAGGTTATCGTAATTTTTCTGTAGCACAGCTTCTAAGGGAACAGGGGGGGGGCAAGGGTAGGGTCTTTTATTTTGAGGGGGGGAGTGTAAGGTTAGGATAGCAGTGTGGAAGGTGGTGTGAGGGTGAGATAGTGAGGGCATATATTTATGAAATGGTTATGTTCCTGTAGAGATATTTGATATTGGCGTTCAGTACCTTGGATACATAGTCATAATTAGAATGCCTTGCATTACATATTTTGGTTGGGTATATTATTGCACTCACTATCGAGGAGAGGTGGTTTAAGTGGCTGTTATGGCTTTTTAGGCCAAGTAGTACTGAACACGTGAAAAAATGATTTACCAGTGAATTATAGTATTTGTTTTTATTAACATTGAGAAGGGGTTTAAAATATAAAATAAAGCAAGTAAACACTGTAGTCAAGTACGTTAGTATAGAATGAAGCTTGTTTTTTAGTAGTTTTAACGTGTAGCTGCAAGTACTTTCCATATTACCCTTGTGGATTTGTTTTTCTTTAGAAATAATTAGTATACAAGTATTTCCTTTATAACGGTACTTCTTTATAAAAGAAGGATTGTAATACCTTTGCACAAGAGAATGTGAAGAATATGACTTTGTCAAGGAAGTTTAATTGTGTTTCAGATAGGGAGATTAGAATTTTGTGTTTAGTCATTAACAAGTGTGATCTTAAAATAGGATTTAGTTAGTGGTAGGGGTGTACCTGTTTGGTTTTTCATGAAGGGGTTCTTTTTATTATTTGCCCCGTCCTTGTGGGGGGAGAACCCATTTGATATGTTTCAATGATAATTCTAGCTTTGGTTTATATTACATATTTACATAGGTTGTTTAAAGTTGAGGTAACATGAAGTGTATCCTCTAATTTATGTGTAAAATACATGTTATGCAATGATGTTCTGACTGTTTGATTTTCATGGTTGTTGTTTTATTATTATTGATATGAAATATTGTGGATGTATATTCTTCCAATTATACAAGTGTGTCCGTGTAGTAACATAATGTACATATCTGTGTTATGTACTTTTTTATTTTTGTTCTGGTTGTTTATGCATAACTGATTTCTGTAATTCTCATTTAGGTTATGAGGTAAGGGCATATTGTGATTGTTAGGTTACTTGAGGTTTTTTTTTTTTTTTTTTTTTTTTTTTTTGTCAAAACGGTGCATGAAAATATTTTTTGTATGCACTGGTTTTATTAATTTTTGTTAAAAAGGGGTTTGGTAGGTCATGTTATTGGTGTGTAAATGGTGGTAATTCACCTATGGGTAACGTGTTTTTTAAGTACTGGAATGTGTGGTAGAGGAATTTTGTTAATATCCAGTATAGTTCTTATTATTAATCACTTATACGTTCTTGTATTAGTTGTTAAAATGAGGGGGCAGGGAACCGATTATATGGGTATGACTTTGTATATAGCCTTTTATGTATAATGTACTACGTGTGATTTTCTTTGGATTATATAGTCTTTTGTGAGTAAGAAACTGTATTTTTGAATTTTTGGGGATGGCAATCATGTTAAATTGAAGTGTGTCTCTTACGTATAGGTTAAGAGCTGTCTTAGTTTATGTAACGTATGCATAGTATACATATGAATATGTATTGTGCTTTTTAAATAAAATATAAAAAAAAAATTGGCATTGAAGTCGTTCGTGGGGCTGTGTTTCCCCATTCGGCACAGCTACTGTTACCGGTTATCATCAGAGACACGTATGCTATACGGAGTATAGCATACGGAGTATAGCTATACGGAGTAGCATTGAATGGGGCCTACAGAATCTTCGTAAAATTCCGTAACACCAGTGTATACAAGGATATCGTCACAAGAGTTCAAGACGTCAACATGCCCATGAATCCGGCAGTAACGGCGAGACTACTTGATGTATCTCGGTTTTTCACATAGGTGAAAATTAGTAACGTGCCGTTTGAAGCAGACGAGGCGGATCTACGAGCTATATTTGAAAAATACGGAACTGTACACCTTGCGACCATGGGTACATGGAAGCACGAATCATACGCAGGAATGCCTGAGGGTAGTTTCTCGCTAAAGATGACTACGACACCCTATACCTTCTTATGTGCAACTGGAGGAGTTCAGGACGCAAGTCCCCGTAACATACGCAGGGCAACAACAGACATGTAGATTGTGTTTAAGGGGATTGGGGAGAATTGTGGATGTGTTTGGGGCAGCGACAGGTATGAAGGTAAATGTGGATAAGTCTAAATCTAGGTTTAGGTGGGTGGGGAGAGGGGGACGAGATGTGTGCAGAGGAAAGGTGGCGAGTAGTGGACAGACAGACTCAAGATATGTGGGATTGTATATATGGCTAATGAGGTGATTGCGAGAGAGGAAAATTCCACGTGTGTGGTGAATAAGGTGCTGGGACGCTTGAATGGGTTGAGGACGCCTCACCTTTCTTTACATCAGCGGGTCATTGTGGTGAATGCGCTTTTGTATAGCAAAATTTGGCATATTGCCGCAGTGTACCCGTTGGTGTCAGGCGATGTAAGGAGGCTATTGGGTAGAGTTTTTAAATACATATGGGGGTCGGGGTGTGACTGGTTAAGGAGAGAGGTAGTAACACTTCCGGTAGCCAAGGGCAGGCTGAGGTTAATTTCCCTGGGGAATAGGTTAAAGGGAGTTTATGTCAGGCATGAGTATGGGGAAGGGGGCGGAGGCTGTGTAGAGAGAAAATATTCAGAGGTATACAGATATACAGAGGTAGGTGGGAGCGAGATTTTCCGGAAAGTTAGAGTTTTTACATTCGGGGATTTGTGGCGACTGTAGTTTCAGAGGTAGAAACGGGCTAATCTCCCAGTGGACATGGCATTTTGGAGTATGCGTGGTGTTTGCTTGACGAGGACGAGTTTTATCTATCACGAGTGCGTACATATGGGGGAGGGGGTGCAAAGGTGTGATTGCGAGAGTATTACTCTCAGCGGGGATTATATAATGGTGGAAGTAGGGGCAGGAACGAACCTTGATGCAATTCAGCATAAACTAGTTTCCTGTTGTTTAAGGTGTAGCATACCAGGTATTGGACTTTGAGGCATCTCAGTTTAGGGTACCAAGACGTAATGTTGGATTTGGCTTTACGTATTTAATGTATTCCCGTGTTATACCCAACATGTAACTTGTATGGATTGTTGTGCGAAGTCGCACAATGTACTGTTTTTGGTGTGACCTACGAGGACGTCACTATATATACCGTAAAGGATTATTTTATTCCCACAATGATCCTTAAGATTACCTTATAAGTAGCTATGTTTTTGATTGTGGTGTGGCACAACCTCATGTATATTGCCTTGATACATGCAGGTATGGCCCCTAGATGTGTAATGTAAAGGAAGAGTTCGGGTATGGATGTGTGCCTGGGTGGTGTTGGGAGGGGGGGGGGGAAGAAGTGGGTGATGTTACAGCGTGTGTGCCCTTTATGTACCTTTCATGTACTATTTCGAAACGTTGCTGAATGCAGAACATTGTTAATTTTTTTAACATTTGTGCTTGTTTATTTGGCATACATGTTACTGTTCCATGTACATGAGGTTTTCATATTCGTATCTACTGTGTTCCTATGTTTTTTTTTTTTCTAACCACGTGAATTATATGGTTTGCTGTGCAAAGTCAAATACTGTATTGTGTTTGGTGGGACTTTTGAGAAGTTCACTATATGTTCTATAAGGGATTATCTTCATTCCCAAAGTAATGCTTCACACTACCTTTCAAGGTATTATTATTTATTATTATAATCAAGGGGGAAGCGCTAAACCCGGAGGATTATACAGACCTTTCAAGGTAGCTATGTTTTTGTTTGTGGTTTGACATGTTTTACAATACGCATTCCTTGAGTGAATTGTATAAACAAGTGTCCCTTATTTATTATCTGTACTTGTTATTTTTGCCTATATGTTTGTTTTGTGTACCTGAGATTTTCAATATAAAAAAAAAAAATTCATCTTAAATTTCGAGTGCGTGCATAGCGTGGATTGTATGTTTATTTGTGCGCGCGTTGCTTGTACCGGTGTGTGTGTGTGTGTGTGTGTGTGTGTGTGTGTGTGTGTGTGTGTGTGTGTGTGTGTGTGTGTGTGTGTGTGTGTGTGTGTGTGTGTGTGTGTGTGTGTGTGTGTGTGTGTGTGTGTGTGTGTGTTGTGTGTGTTGTGTGTGTGGTGTGCGCGCGCGCTCGCTCGCTTAGTTTTTTAACACGCACTCTCACCGAGGTAGGCCCCCCCCCCCCAAAAAAAAAAATAATGATTGTTGGGCATAAAGGTAATGACGCTGATCACGAGGAAGAATTCAAAACCAACATATGGAGACATGGGCCACCAGTACTAATTTGTTGTAGAAGGATCAAAGACCTTTGGACTAATGGGGAAAATGGGTAACAGGCATTTTTTTTTTCAAAGCAGGTTCCAGCTCATAGACCACAGGGACCCCAAGAGCTGTTACCTTCCTGTTTCTTCTCACTGTGGTTGGCCATCGCGAGGGTGATATTCCTGTTGCATTCTCGATTCTTTCAGCTGAGGAGTTGGAAGAGATTGTCTTTTTAAATCTTCTACTGTATACATGATTATACCTCAAATTAAAACCAAAATATTACACGCGCATATCCAAATTGTTTTGATGACCCAACATAAATCAAGTTCTCATTCCCAAGGCTTAACACAAAACAGTAACGATAAGTGAAGGCATTCACTTAGTTATTAACGTCACCTTAGAGCAGAGCTTTCCAATCAGACGAGGCGAGCTTTGAACAAACAGCCAGCCAGTATCCTTATTAAGCCCCCCCCCCTTCCCGAGGCAGGTTATGGGAGTAGGTTCTTCAACCCATTTTCTTGGAATCTTTTAGTCGTAGGGTACAGGCGGTTTAAAATAAACCATGCTTCCTTTTATTTTTATAATGTTCTTGGTAGATACAAAAAATTTCTCAGTTCTTTAGAAATTCTCCAGCTAAATTAACAATCACTAGTTAATTAAACACAAATTTTATGCCCACTAGTTAGTTTCTCTGTACTCGAGTACCATGAAGGTAAGTGGACGATTATGGAAAGTCACATTTCTAGAATTAGCAAAACATTAGGATCTAGAAGCAAGTGGCATTATTAAAAAAAATTAACAAGTTTATTCAGCACCGTTGACAATTAAAAACAACAAGCACTAAGACAAAGCCGAGAAGTCTAATACGAACACGTGCAATATTAAAACCAACACTCGGAAAAAAAAAAAACTATCACAGTTAAGTGTCCCGCATCATTTATAAAATTCCCTTAAAATGGAGCTTCGTACTGGCACACCGGTATTTAAAAATACCCCCTATTAAGGTACAAAAACTGAGAGTGGAATAACTCGTGTCAGCACTACATCACAAGGCTCGCTAAGGAGCAGCAACACCTGCAAGCTGCTTGATGTAAGACACGCAAAAGCTCTATTCTTAAAATCTGCTAAGAATTGTTTCTTAGCGACAGTTCTATTAAGGAGCCACACACCCATTTTCGAACTCTACCGCACTTTTTGCTTTTCTTTAAGGCTCACCACGCCCGCCAGGTTATATGAATGTACACCCCCCCCCCTTCCCTCTGGACAGGTCTGCAGTCTGGAGATTCTCTCACAATCAAGAACAAAATATACTATGCATCTCATGGCTTCCATAACCAAGAAAAAATCACTGCAATGAAATGAACACCTGTTGCTTAAAAGGCAAAGAGTTTCCACTAGGTTAATCAGAATATTTTCTGCAATTCCTTAATTTAAAATATTCTAAATATTGATATGTTTATTCTATGATCAGGTAAATTAATCAATATTAGGTGTAAATTTTGGCAAGCTTGGGCGCCTTGGTTAGTTCTGGAGTAAAAATATATTGGCATACGAAAAACTGGCTTAAGTATATTTAACTTTTACCTTGAGATGTGGAATCTTCAAGCCTTCCTTAACATTATTTCCCTTATCAAAGTGTGGGTTTTCCGCAACCAAGGGAAAATATATTTCATCACGGGTTTGATAAGTCCTTTCTCACGTTCCATAATTAGAAAAAGAACTGGGTACGTTACGCACGTCTTTTACTCTAATAACAGTAATAACAGAGGCTGCGTCTCCCAAACCACCACACGATTACAGCATCTTGCAAAGCACTCAGGCTTCAGCATGCTCTGTCACTACCTAGCCACTGAAGATATTAGTCTTTCTGTACACTGCCCGAGCATTGAATGCACACATGGCTGTTGCAGAACGTGTAACGAAGCTTACCTGGCATTTGTGTCCAAATGTCCCTCGAAGAGTTGTCCATTCCACTTACCTGAAATGTTACAGAGGTTTATTACAATGCACCCTATGTGTAAATTTAAACTAAAAACCTTTACACAAGACTGGTCTGTCTGAAGCAATCCTTACAAGACCAGAATATCAAAATTACTAGAGGTGAAACATATGGAGCCAGGATTATCCCGACGCTACGAATTGAAGTTGCGTTAGAGGTGGATCCCATTGTGTAGAAAACAAACAGTTTTCTTTATATCTGTATGGATCGAGTCTCTGGTCAGCTTAAGTCTTTTCAGTATCATAAACAGTCTTTTCTTAATCTTGTCTGCATATATTACTGACTATATACGCCCCAGATACCTACGTACTGCTAGGCGGACCAGGAGAACGGGTTTAAGAAAACATTTCCAAAATTTCCACTCGTGCCGATATCGAACCCTGGTCCCTCAGTTGTGAGCCAGTCTTTAAGGGGGGTACTGCAACTGATCTTCATAAACTGCTATTGCTGCTTTCCCTGATGCAATCGTGGGGAAGAAATAAACACATTCTAATCCTGGGAGAACGCTAAACCCGCAGTGATTATACAGCGCCTTTTAGGTGACGCATTCAGACTCAATTCAGGGAACTGGATCACGAATCCTCCCTAGATTAACAGCACCTCACTAGCATTAAGGAACTTCTTGAGGGAGGGGTAAACTCGTAGGGTCCCTGTCCTGGGCCACCCCTCCTTCCCTACGGTTTCTTGTACAGGATTCTTACAACATACCAGTCCTGGAAATCACTATTAAGGCCACCCACTCTTGAAGGACTAAAATATTTAAAACAAATGTAATGCACTAGTTGTATGTTCAAGAATAGCCAAGCCTGTAGGGGAGATGGAAAGTAATCAGGTTTGATCCAAGGAATGGGTACGTAATCTCCTCGGGTCAAGAGACTTTCTTCTGGGTTAATATTGTAATTTATAGGCTTTTATTACTTTTGTAAATTCTGAAATAATTAAGTTGTGCAATGGAGGCCGTTATATTTTAGTTATGGGATAAAAAAATAACCAAAAAGTAACTTCCTAAACCCAACTTAACATAACCAAGAATTTAACACTCTAGGTTATCAACACACCTACCTAATAGTTACAAGTAAGTAATTGCACAACCTAGTAATAAAGTACTTAAATCACGAAACAGTAACGGCACGCTTGCAAACCATACCACGGGTGGGGGTAGAACCCGTGGTCAGAACTCCGGACCGATGCGTTGGCCACTAGACTAGCTAGCTACAATAAGATTCATCCAGCTAGGTATATTTATACACCATAGGAAGGTTAGCATAGGCACCACTGTGACCACAAATGCAAGTCTTTATAGATGAATCTCCCGCCAGCGTGGCCGTGACGAACTCAAGCTTAAGTCCTCTATACCTAGTTGGATGAATCTTTTTGTAGCCAGCTAGCCCCGAGGCTAACGCGTCGGTCTGGAGTTTTGACTCTGACCGACGGTTCTATCCCCACCTGTGGTATGGTTATAATCAAGTACTTTACCAAAACTAAATACTTCCTTTCTCCAGCATCAAAACACCGTACTATAATAAGAGGGGAGGGAAAGGGGATGGGTGGAACACTTAGGGCATGGTACGGTACACCCAAGTAGGGCAAAATGTTTGGGTGGAGAATAATTAAATACGAGGGTTAAGTATTAAACCCTAAGTAATACTGCGCTTGGGAGGCAACCAATTTCCTTCCAAATGACAACAGATTCACTTCTTTGGAGCAAGCGCCTCCTTCACTGGCATCAAGGTAATGTTCTTGAGAGATGTCTGGCTATGTCGGGATTATTCACTTTCACCTAACACAGGGAGAGGTCAGCAAACTTAAGCTCATCGACCCCCCCCCCCCTTATGAAGTTAGATTGTTCGTCAACCTTGCCCCCCCCCCAACATTTTAGAATTATTTAATACATAGTAGTTTAATAGTAGTACGAATAATTAATAATGGTTTCATAAAAATTATGAAAAATGTAAGATTTAACATACCCTTTTACTGAAACTGTTAATATTAATGGAAAAGATGTACCAGAGGAGCGTCAAGGGCACTGATGTTTGGTTCGAGAGATGAGAGCAACAAGAGGGGAGGGGGGGGGTCACATACTCAACTAAGACATTGGACCCACTTTTGAGCCCCAGCCATTTATCGACCCCTTTTATAGTTCCATAGACCTTTAGGGGTCAATACTGACCACTTTGGGGAACCTGACCTAGCATGTCCACCACTCACTCGAAAGGCCAGACCTTGGGAGTCTGCTGGGAATGACAGAGCTGCAGAGGAAAAAATAGGTTGCACTTCCCTGGCTAAAGCCTGTCATATTAAAAAAAATTATAGTGTTGGCTCGCCTATTCCTCGGCACCCGCATCACTGGGAAGCGCTAAACCCGGAGAATTATACAGCGCCTGTGGGGGGGGGGGGGGACGTTGAAGGTATTCAGAATTCAGGGAACTGGAGTGCAGATCCAATTACTTAGATCAAGAGCCCCTCACCAGCATCAAGGAACCTTCCTTCAGAGGCATCACTGGGGAACTTTAAGAGATACCAAACCTTAAGTCTACCGACCTTCAGCAGAGAAAAATCTTCATAATATGAAGATTCACCCAAGGTGGAGACAAATTATTATACAATGTTCCATCTACAGTGGGACCTAATTATATTTATACACTTTCACCTACAGTTGGGCCTCATCAAGTACGTCGTAATAAAGCGTTTTCTCTGTTGTGTCAAAATACCTCTTACCGCAAAGACTACCCCCTAAGTGGCTCACTGGTACTGCCTTCAGCTCACAACTGAAAGACCCAGGTTTAATCCCGAGCAAGTCGGTATGTATGAGCAAGTCTACTGGCACATGCTTCTTTACACTTGGCAGTAAATAGGTACCTGGTTATTAGTAGAGTACCACCTTCGTCAAATGGGTGGCAATATACACAAAAACAGGAACTACAGGACTCTTAGAGTTCAATGCTTCACCCTAAATATAAGGACCTTCGAACAGAGGTATGTTAACAACTTAGTCTAAACATTAAAAAAAAAAAAATGGCTGCAAACTTCACATTCAGTTGCTCGCGAGTATTTATATCACGATTAAAAAAAATCTACTGGAGTAAATTATATTTGAAGGGTGAAAAGATGCAATGTGGCCTTTAATTATGATTAAACGTTTTAAAAACTTAATGCCGAACTTAAAGCAAGATCTCACTAGCCAAATTGTTATTAATGTGAAAATAACTTCAACGAGGATAACACTTAAAGATGATGGTTGGTTGGTAGGGACTCAAGTCTATCTACTACACGAGGGCCATTAAGATTACATGTAGCTAGTTCACCACCAGCCAACTTTAATTCCTAAAACTGTGAGAAAACTCTAGTGCATACACAGAGAAGCCATTGTATTAGTGAAATACACCAGCCTTGGTCACTGATGTAACCACCACCTACACAGTTAAATCTCTCTATTCTCAAAATAAAGATTTACAAACATGTCTCAACTTACCTCACCGTTGAGGTGCCCTTTACTACCCTTCCTCATCACTCCTACAGGATTCCAGGAGCTTCAGCCAAGGAACAAATCCGTAATAAAGCAGGAGAGTCGAACACGTGCAGCCGACACAGCAGGAGCGTCGGGTGTGCTGGTGCATGCTGGGTAACAGTGTTGTCCTCCCTCCCTCCCTCACACTCTCCCTCACACTAACTGCTCCTACCTCACTTTTAATTACCTCACTTGGGTTTAATATTAGGAGTTGGTAGTATGATCATGGCGAAACGCTAAACCCGTAGGGTTAAAGCAGCCTCTGAGGAATGAGAGGTGATAGAGTTTGATACCTTGAAAAGTACAGTAGCTCCATTAATAAAAATAAATTATTATTATTACCTATTATTATTTTAATAATAATAATTTATTATTATTATTATTATTATTATTATTATTATTATTATAGTTCAGTTCCTTGGTTCCAAAGCCCTTCACCAGCTTTGACTGAACTCTGCAGTTTGGGTTACTAAGTTTAAAGCCTACCGACTGTACAATGGGTCATAAAGGCCAGTTAAGGATATTTTAATCTCTAAAATAGGGATTAATATAAACTTTAAATGTATCTACACTGAGAGAAGATAAATTTGAACATTTCTTATTTTTTCTCAGCAATCTCGTTGCCAGATCTGTCACGGCCTCTTTTTTCTGATTTGATTATTTGTGGTTAATTAGATGATTGCTGATGTTATGAATGAAAAGAAGTTGGATGTTCTGGCCCTAAGCGAAACAAAGCTGAAGGGGGTAGGGGAGTTTCGGTGGGGGGAAATAAATGGGATTAAATCTGGAGTATCTGAGAGACTTAGAGCAAAGGAAGGGGTAGCAGTAATGTTGAATGATCAGTTATGGGAGAAAAGAGAATATGAATGTGTAAATGCAAGAATTATGTGGATTAAAGTAAAGGTTGGATGCGAGAAGTGGGTCATAAGCGTGTATGCACCTGGAGAAGAGAGGAATGCAGAGGAGAGAGAGAGATTTTGGGAGATGTTAAGTGAATGTATAGGAGCCTTTGAACCAAGTGAGAGAGTAATTGTGGTAGGGGACCTAAATGCTAAAGTAGGAGAAACTTTTAGAGAGGGTGTGGTAGGTAAGTTTGGGGTGCCAGGTGTAAATGATAATGGGAGCCCTTTGATTGAACTTTGTATAGAAAGGGGTTTAGTTATAGGTAATACATGACTCAAGAAATCGTAATGACACGATTGCAAATAAACCATACCCCGGCCGGGATTGAACCCGCTAACGCGACGGGCTGGAGTTTTGAGACTCTATGACCGCGGGTTCAATCCCGGCCGGGGGTATGGTTTATAGGTAATACATATTTTAAGAAAAAGAGGATAAATAAGTATACAAGATATGATGTAGGGCGAAATGACAGTAGTTTGTTGGATTATGTATTGGTAGATAAAAGACTGTTGAGTAGACTTCAGGATGTACATGTTTATAGAGGGGCCACAGATATATCAGATCACTTTCTAGTTGTAGCTACACTGAGAGTAAAAGGTAGATGGGATACAAGGAGAATAGAAGCATCAGGGAAGAGAGAGGTGAAGGTTTATAAACTAAAAGAGGAGGCAGTTAGGGAAAGATATAAACAGCTTTTGGAGGATAGATGGGCTAATGAGAGCATAGGCAATGGGGTCGAAGAGGTATGGGATAGGTTTAAAAATGTAGTGTTAGAGTGTTCAGCAGAAGTTTGTGGTTACAGGAAAGTGGGTGCGGGAGGGAAGAGGAGCGATTGGTGGAATGATAATGTAAAGAGAGTAGTAAGGGAGAAAAAGTTAGCATATGAGAAGTTTTTACAAAGTAGAAGTGATGCAAGGAGGGAAGAGTATATGGAGAAAAAGAGAGAGGTTAAGAGAGTGGTGAAGCAATGTAAAAAAGAGAGCAAATGAGAGAGTGGGTGAGATGTTATCAACAAATTTTGTTGAAAATAAGAAAAAGTTTTGGAGTGAGATTAACAAGTTAAGGAAGCCTAGAGAACAAATGGATTTGTCAGTTAAAAATAGGAGAGGAGAGTTATTAAATGGAGAGTTAGAGGTATTGGGAAAATGGAGGGAATATTTTGAGGAATTGTTAAATGTTGATGAAGATAGGGAAGCTGTGATTTCGTGTATAGGGCAAGGAGGAATAACATCTTGTAGGAGTGAGGAAGAGCCAGTTGTGAGTGTGGGGAAAGTTCGTGAGGCAGTAGGTAAAATGAAAGGGGGTAAGGCAGCCGGGATTGATGGGATAAAGACAGAAATGTTAAAAGCAGGTGGGGATATAGTTTTGGAGTGGTTGGTGCAATTATTTAATAAATGTATGGAAGAGGGTAAGGTACCTAGGGATTGGCAGAGAGAATGCATGGTTCCTTTGTATAAAGGCAAAGGGGACAAAAGAGAGTGCAAAAATTATTGGGGGATAAGTCTGTTGAGTATACCTGGTAAAGTGTATGGTAGAGTTATTATTGAAAGAATTAAGAGTAAGACGGAGAATAGGATAGCAGATGAACAAGGAGGCTTTGGGAAAAGGGTTTAGGGGGTGTGTGGACCAGGTGTTTACAGTGAAACATATAAGTGAACAGTATTTAGATAAGGCTAAAGAGGTCTTTGTGGCATTTATGGATTTGGAAAAGGCATATGACAGGGTGGATAGGGGGGCAATGTGGCAGATGTTGCAGGTGTATGGTGTAGGAGGTAGGTTATTGAAAGCAGTGAAGAGTTTTTACGAGGATAGTGAGGCTCAAGTTAGAGTATGTAGGAAAGAGGGAAATTATTTCCCAGTAAAAGTAGGCCTTAGACAAGGATGTGTGATGTCACCGTGGTTGTTTAATATATTTATAGATGGGGTTGTAAGAGAAGTAAATGCGAGGGTCTTGACAAGAGGCGTGGAGTTAAAAGATAAAGAATCACACATAAAGTGGGAGTTGTCACAGTTGCTCTTTGCTGATGACACTGTGCTCTTGGGAGATTCTGAAGAGAAGTTGCAGAGATTGGTGGATGAATTTGGTAGGGTGTGCAAAAGAAGAAGATTAAAAGTGAATACAGGAAAGAGTAAGGTTATGAGGATAACAAAAAGATTAGGTGATGAAAGATTGGATATCAGATTGGAGGGAGAGAGTATGGAGGAGGTGAATGTATTCAGATATTTGGGAGTGGACGTGTCAGCGGATGGGTCTATGAAGGATGAGGTGAATCATAGAATTGATGAGGGGAAAAGGGTGAGTGGTGCACTTAGGAGTCTGTGGAGACAAAGAACTTTGTACTTGGAGGCAAAGAGGGGAATGTATGAGGGTATAGTTTTACCAACGCTCTTATATGGGTGTGAAGCATGGGTGATGAAAGTTGCAGCGAGGAGAAGGCTGGAGGCAGTGGAGATGTCATGTCTGAGGGCAATGTATGGTGTGAATATAATACAGAGAATTCGTAGTTTGGAAGTTAGGAGGAGGTGCGGGATTACCAAAACTGTTGTCCAGAGGGCTGAGGAAGGGTTGTTGAGGTGGTTCGGACATGTAGAGAGAATGGAGCGAAACAGAATGACTTCAAGAGTGTATCAGTCAGTAGTGGAAGGAAGGCGGGGTAGGGGTCGGCCTAGGAAAGGTTGGAGGGAGGGGGTAAAGGAGGTTTTGTGTGCGAGGGGCTTGGACTTCCAGCAGGCGTGCATGAGCGTGTTTGATAGGAGTGAATGGAGACGAATGGTTTTTAATACTTGACGTGCTGTTGGAGTGTGAGCAAAGTAACATTTATGAAGGGGTTCAGGGAAACCGGCAGGCCGGACTTGAGTCCTGGAGATGGGAAGTATAGTGCCTGCACTCTGAAGGAGGGGTGTTAATGTTGCAGTTTAAAAACTGTAGTGTAAAGCACCCTTCTGGCAAGACAGTGATGGAGTGAATGATGGTGAAAGTTTTTCTTTTTCGGGCCACCCTGCCTTGGTGGGAATCGGCCAGTGTGATAATAATAATAATAATAAAAATTAGAAGTTTTATAGGTTTATGTAACTTAACCTAACTTAACCTACCATAACCTAAATTAATTTAACCAACACGATTTGGGAAACTAGTTATCGCTTAAATATTAACACTGAGCTGAACGTCAGTAGCTGACGCTTTAGAATGAGAATGTGTCGGACATTTATTCCCCTGACAAGTGTTTCCTGACGCGGGTCTTAGATGATGATCCTCCATTGGAGCTTTTGGTCATCTGACCGAGGCCTTCTGCTGGCTTACCGGTTTACCCTTTTAAAAATTATGGTCCTAGGTATGTGTATACACTCTTTCTCAGTGTACCTATACAATAAATTAACATCAACAATACATCAGGTGACAAAAAGTAGTTTTTTTTCATAAACTCTCAGAGTATTTATATCATATTTTTAAAGTGAGTCAATCAACCAAAACCAACCTAAAAATATTTTTTCTAAGTGGAAAAGCATGACATCCATTAACAAAAATACTTCTGTGAAATAAGTTTGGATGCAAAATCTTAGTTTTGCAGCCACACTAACCTAACAACCATAGCAAAATTTGCTGAAATTAATATAATATGCTCAAGCTAAATCATACTCAATATATATTAGGTTACTTTATGCTAGTATTATTTAACATCAATGATATGTATTAATTTAGTGATGTTCAGACCGCTAGCTTCAATCTTATGAAATATTAGCATTCAAATATTACATACAGATCTTTTGGAAATACTGACATAGATGTGGTATTAGCAGCGGTACAAGAACATTTCCCTGGTCTCTTCCCCTTTGTTTCAGCTGGATATTGAAAGGAATCATTGCTCCTGTTTGGAGAGCATGAAATCACATCATCAGAGGATGTCCAGCAAGGGGATCCTCTTGCACCATTTCTCTTTTGTATAGCGGTTAGGGAAATTATAGTCAGACTGACCAGTGAGCTAAACATCTGGTTCCTGGATGATGGCACACCAGCAGGTACAAAGGAGTCCCTCCTAGATGATCTTACACAAGTAATGACACGGGGACAGGAAATGGGTCTCATCTTGAATCCATCCAAATGTGAAATCATCTCAGTCATGAAGTGATAATTGCAGTGAGATCAAACTACCAGGAGCATCAGTCATTGCCCCTACAAATAGCGTCTTGCTTGGAGCATCTCTCGGAAGCGATGCCACTGACACAATTCTCAGGAAGAAATTAGAAGAGTTGAGGAGAATGAAACAACGAATAAGCAATCTTGACACCCACGATGCCTTGTACCTTCTCACAAAGTGCTCGAGTCTGCCCAGGTTGACATATTTCCTAAGATGTGCACCTTCTTATGATAACCTTATACTGCACGAATATGCCAGTATCCTGAGGCAGATTTTTACGAAAATACTTAACCTTACTCTCGAAGACGGGCAGTGGAACCAAGCTACACTTCAGTCAGACTAGGAGGCATTGGTGTCCGCAAGTCATCACAAATTGCGTTACCTGCTTTTCTATCCTCAAACGTTGCATCCAGAGGGCTTCTAGCAGCGATTCTCCCTGAACATCTTAAGGACAAGATTGGAGTTCAGGACCAAAAGTTCATTGACGGAGCCATGATCTGGGATACTCTAACGGATTCTGAAACCAGACCTGCTTCCCCCAACAACTACAAACAGTCGCACTGGAACGGCCAGATAGTAGAGAAAATAGCCTCAACAATGCTTCAGTGTGTGTCAGGAAAGGATAGAGCCCACCTCCTGGCAGTGAGAGCTCTTCATGCACGGGGCTTTCTGTTGGCACACGCCTCGACCCACAAACCATCCGCATTGGTGTTGCCCTTCGACTTGCCGCCCCTATTCTCGCCGAACACAGGTGTATTTGTGGCAGTGAAGCAGCAGACTGATTCGGGTACCATGGTCTTGTGTGCCGTAAATCCGAGGGAAAGATTGCAAGATATGAGGAGGTTAATAACATTATCAAGAGGAGCCTTACAACAGCCGGATGCCCCTCAGTAAGGGAGCCACCCCAACTATGCAGATCTGATGGCAGCCAGAAGCGTCCAGATGGTATCACACTTCAAGCCTGGACAGATGGTAAGCAGGTGGTGTGGGACTACATATGTGCATCTACCTTGGCTGATACTTATCTCTAATACACCAGGGAGGAAGGAGGGGCAGCTGCCAGCTTCAGGGAGTCCCAAAAATCTAGAAAATATGGAAAAACTGCCCATCATTATATGTTCGTTCCCATAGGCTCAGAGACCCTTGGCTCATGGGGAAAGAGTGCATCTAAGTTCCTTAAGGAGCTAGACAAAAGACTCATCAGGGTAACTAGGGATCCCAGTGCAGCTAGTTTTCTGTTCCAGTGACTCAGTGCGGCTGTTCACAGGGGTAATGCCTGCTGTATTTTGGGCACGCGCCCCAGTTCTGAAGAGCTGGATGAGATTTTCGCATTATAATCAGTAACAAACACGTAACAATATGTATTAGACATGTATCTCACACACCTCATGTACTGTATATGCCATTTTTATATCAACAATGTATCTCTTAAATCTTCTGTAGCAGATTATGTAATAAAATATACCTATTGGTAAAAAAGAATGAAAAAATCGGGTGGTAGGGGAAGTGGTATACATACATACATATGCAATAAGATCACAATAAACAGGTGATTTTAAAATATGCAAAACAACCACTGTGAAAGAGTAGCGAAATTCCAAGCGCTTTCGTGACTACTCACATTGTCAAGGAACTATGACAATGTGAGTAGTCACGAAAGCACTTGGAATTTCACTACTCTTTCACAGTGGTTGTTTTGCATACACACACACACACACATATATATATATATATGTATATATATATATATATATATATATATATATATATATATATATATATATATATAAAATGTCGTGCCGAATAGGTAAAACTTTTTGGCTTTAATATCAACGCTCTTCTTGCTGAATAAGACAAGCGAAAACTTGTGTATGCAATAATTTCGCAAAAATCATTCTGAACCTAACGAAAAAAATATGTTTCAATATGTTCGTTTATTATTCATCTATTGTAAACTTATCTAAAATATATTTAGTTAGATTAGGCTAAATTAAATTGAGCTTGTTATAATAAGGTTAGGTAAGTTTTCTAAGGTTCTTTTGGTACAAAATTATTAATTTTTACGGCAACATAAATTAAAAAATATAAATCTTTAAAAGTATAAGAGATAATTTTAGGACTAAATTTTATATGAGTTTTTGCTAATTGATCAAAGTTTTAAGTTTTGTAAACCTTTTAAGGAGGTTGTAAGGCTAAGGGGAGGGACCCGGGCCAGCAGTACCGGCCAATCTCACGAGTTATACTGTGTGTGACATCTCGTGCATGAGGGAGTTATACTGTGTGTGACATTTCGTGCATGAGGGAGTATATACAGGGCATGATAATATTTATCTAACTTACGTCATTATTAATAGATCTAGCATACTGTTCATGATAGACCTAACATGCCGTTCATGATAGATCTAACATACTGTTTACCACTCTCTTATTTACCCCTATCTCACCTATGGAATTTGTGCATGGGGCTCAACAACAATTAACCATCTCAGACCACTAATTACCCAACAAAAGGCTGCAGTTAGAATGATAACAAATTCTCACTACAGGCAGCACACACCACCAATATTCAAAACACTCAACCTACTCACCATACAAAACATCCATACTTATTATTGCACTTATTACATACATAGAACACTTAACTCTGATATTAACCCTCCCCTCAAACATCTCCTTGCCAACCTCAACAGAACACATGACCATAACACAAGGCACAGATCACTCTTTGATGTTCCTCGTGTCCATCTCACGCTATGCAAAAACTCAATGCACATAAAAGGCCCTAAAATCTGGAATTCATTACCTGTAAATATAAAGAAACACTACCTGTTTATAAATTCAAGTCTCTTCTCAAAGTTCACTTACTCACTCAAAACCAAATAAATACTGAATAACTGAACCATATAAATTGTATATCCTAAATGTTACTCACAATTATATCACACAAATGTTAAACCTAGGACCCAATCTAACTTTATTTTTTTTTAAATACACTACCTAACAGAATACTCCATTCTACTGAATGTACAGCAATGCATGCAACCATATGACCTGTCTTTGTAATACTCATTTGTGCTTTATTGTTATCTGTTTACAATAATGTTTTATCACTGATTACATCATTGCTTAGTTAATCTTAAGTTAATTTTAAGCCAGCCCGTAATGCTATGCATATAAGTGGCTTTGGCATGCTGCTCTTACCTGTATTTTTTGTACCTCTGTTTGTATGCTAAAATTTCTAAATAAATAAATAAATAAATAGACCTAACATGCGTTCATGATAGATCTAACATACTGTTCATGATAGACCTAACATGCCGTTCATGATAGATCTAACATACTGTTCATGATAGACCTAACATGCCGTTCATGATAGATCTAACATACTGTTCATGATAGACCTAGCATGCGTTCATGATAGATCTAACATGCCGTTCGTGACGGATTTTATAATATGCATGACAGATCTTACATTATAATGTTAGTTATGGGAAAGCACTAAACCCGGAGGCATTATACAGTACTTTTGAAATAGGAATATTTCAGATTTGATCCGAGGAAGAGTAGGGTAACCTCAACTTCTTGGATCAAGAGCTCCTTACCTGCCTCATAGTTCACAAAAGGACATTAAGACTATCGTAGACGTGGCAATTTAGAATATATTGAAATAAAACAGTTATAATAAAACTTCATCAATAATATTACTATAAATGAAAGCACTAAATCCGTGCGGGTCATTCAGAGCTGCGTCTTCAGCTGATTCTTATACAGTACTGTAGCAGAGGGTAAGAGCTCCTGCCGTCACACTGGGCCGTTATTGCGGTCAGTGTTGTTGCGGCCACTGTCTGTTGTTGTTGTTGCCACTGTCTGTTGTTGTTGTGGCCACTGTCTGTTGTTGTTGTGGCCACTGTCTGTTGTTGTTGTGGCCACTGTCTGTTGTTGTTGTGGCCACTGTCTGTTGTTGTTGTTGCCACTGTCTGTTGTTGTTGTGGCCACTGTCGGCTGTTGTTGTGGCCACTGTCTGTTGTTGTTGTGGCCACTGTCTGTTGTTGTTGTGGCCACTGTCTGTTGTTGTTGTGGCCACTGTCTGTTGTTGTTGTGGCCACTGTCGGCTGTTGTTGTGGCCACTGTCTGTTGTTGTTGTGGCCACTGTCTGTTGTTGTTGTGGCCACTGTCGGCTGTTGTTGGGGCCACTGTAGGTTGTTGTGGACAATGTCAATGCTTGTGGCCAGTGCCTTGTGGTCACTGTCAATTTTTGTGGCCAGTGTCTGTTGTTGTGGCCACTGTCTGTTGTTGTCACTGGTGTTGTGGCCACTGTCGGTTGTTGCTGTGGCCACTATCGGTTGTTGAGACCACGGTCGGTTGTTGTGGCCACTGTCGGTTATTGTGGCCAATGTAGGTTGCTGTTGTGGCCAATGTCAATTCTTGTAGCTAGAGCCTTGTGGTCACTGTCAATTTTTGTGGCCACTGTCTTGTTGTGGTCAAAGAATCCTGTGTTACAGATTACTACCACAACTGCCACAGCGTATGATGTTACAAATTAACCTAATTAACTGCAAGAGGCACAAAGTCAGGTGTTATACATAAGCCAAACTACCACAGTGCCTGATGTTATGGATTAACGAAATTACATGTGCTAGAGAGTCCTGTGTTACAGAGTAATGTAATTGCACGTGCTAAAGAGTCCTGTGTTACAGAGTAACGTAACTACAAGTGCTAAAGAGTCCTGTGTTGAGTAACGTAACTACACGTGCTAAAGAGTCCTGTATTACAGAGTAACGTAACTACAAGTACCACAGCATCCTGCGTTATGAATTAATCAGAGGAACCACAGCTGCCACATTGCGGGGTGTTTAGGAAGACTTTCTTGGTAGTAGCGTCGCACAGTACCGGTCGGATCTTCATCTGGAGTTTGACAACCTCCACTACAACGTTTGAGTAGCAGGTATAATTGAGTCCTGCTTTGTATACGGAGGTTGGGTTGTTGTAGCGACAGTTGTAGTACCACCACCCACCACCCCTTGAATCGGCGCAGTTCCCTGTGTGTTGTAATGAAGGAAAAAACTTAGTAAATCGTTAACAAATATTGTAAAAACATGGCTTTTGACTAGGCTTAAAAAGATTGCTACTGCCTTGACGCCAAACATTGTTTCTGCCTTGACATCAAACACTGTTACTGTCCCGATGCCAAATATCGCTGTTGCCTTGACACTAAACACTGCTACTATCTTGATACTAAACATTAATCTAAAAAAACTGCAGAAGTAAAATTAGTTTTTCCCAGTTCGGCTCAAACTTGTCTTTCCTTTACATGCTCGCATTAGTGCGCAACTAAGAAAAAAAAAAACCTATTCGCTATGTAAACATCAATGAATCGGTAATATTACTGCAATATCATCTTTACCAGTTGATTGCATTGGTACAGTGTACCATCATACATTATTGTAGCAAAATAACTGTCACGTTGGGAGAGACTGTACAGTAATAATGTGTTTTAATTGACCAGAAGCTCCGGTCCGAGGCTGATGAAGTCCTACCCAGACAGGAATAGTCTATTACACAATTTTGTCTATACCTTTTTTTTTTTACTGTACTTGATGACATCTGCCATCCTACAGTACGTACCATGTGTGTCAGCAATACTTGGCATCCTACTTTACCATACATGTCAGCAACACCAGCCATCCTATACTACCATACATGTCAGCAATACCTGCCATCCTATACTACCATACATGTCAGCAACACCAGCCATCCTATACTACCATACGTGTCAGCAACACCAGCCATCCTATACTACCATACATGTCAGCAATACCTGCCATCCTATACTACCATACATGTCAGCAACACCAGCCATCCTATACTACCATACATGTCAGCAATACCTGCCATCCTATACTACCATACATGTCAGCAACACCAGCCATCCTATATTACCATACATGTCAGCAATACCTGCCATCCTATACTACCATACATGTCAGCAATACCTGCCATCTTACACTACTTGTCGCCATTCAATAAAAGAGACTCTTAACTTACGAAGTTATTCAATTCACTCCTTAAAATACCTAGCCATGCGGTAAAGCAAGTCAGGAATCCAAATTGTTATGGTAATTACAATGATTTACCTATTCATACAGTGATAAGCCATACAGTGATTTAGCAGTTCATACAGTGATTAAGCCATACAGTGAGTAAGCAGTTCATACAGTGAATTAGCCATTCATACAATGAGCTAGCCATTCATACAGTGAATCAGTGATTCATACAGTGAATTAGCCATTCATACAGTGAGTTAGCCATTCATACAGTGAGTTAGCCATTCATACAGTGAGTTGGCCATTCATACAGTGAGTTAGCCATTCATACAGTGAGTTAGCCATTCATACAGTGAGTTAGCCGTTCATACAGTGAGTTAACCATTCACATAGTGAATAAGCCATTCATACAGTGAGTTAGCCGTTCATACAGTGAGTTAGCCATTCACAGAGTGAATTAGCCATTCATACAGTGAGTTAGCCGTTCAGAGAGTCATGGGATTTAGTGAGTTAACATATCAGAGAGATGCATTTTTCAGTAAGATAGTAATGAAAATAATTTTAAGATTTTTTGCGAACAATTTTTTGCTATAGATGAATTATTCCACTACAGTTTATATCAAAGTCCAGATCTTTCTGAGGTGTCGTACAGCTCTCTTGAATGTCACCCACAACAGCCCAGTAGCTACCTATTTACTTGTAAGTGAACACGTACGACGGGAGAAGGGAGAGACACACAAACCTCCTCCTGCCCAAGACTGAACCCGGATTCTTTGGGTGTGAACTGAATGCGCTAATACAGAGTAGAGATGTATCGGATGTGACAATTTAGATATCCGAGGATGCGGATATGTATGAGGATGTCTTACTTTTTCGCGGATGCGGATGCATATGCGGATATCTGTTTACAGGAAATTGCGGATGTGGATGCGGATGTAAGAGACTGTCCGGATGTTCCGCGGATGGGGATGCGGATATCCGATACATCTCTACAGTACAGAGCTCTGAGGCACCTGTTACATTGCTCGTATATTTTACCCGTTCAGGTTGTGGAGGCTTCTTTGTAAGTACACTGAGAGGAAAAAAATACAAACTATACCACGGGTGGGGTTAGAACCCGCGATCAGAGCCGTGGAACGGTTTGTTTGCAATCGTGCCATTATGATTTCGTGAGTCATGAGAGGAAAAGTTGAAAGTTTTCAACATACCAGTCGCTGCGTCGTTATCACGGTCGTATGTAGTGAAGGGGCGAGAGTTGTAGGTGGTCATGCAGTTCGCCGAGACGCTCCCTGCTGACGTGCCGCTGTATGTCATCGTATAGCTGTCACAGTGAAACAAGAACATCACTGAACATCAGGTACATTACTGAACATCAGGTACATCACTTAATATCAGGAACAACAGTGAACATCAGGTACATCACTTAATATCAGGAGCAACAGTGAACATCAAGTACATCAATGAACATCACGTATATCATTGAACATCGCGTACATTAATGTGTATCAAGAACATGTGTGTGTATCAGATATATCAGTATACCTGAATATTAGGTTCGTTAAGACGTATCAGTTACGTCAATATATATGAAATACGCCTGTGTATGTGTGTGTATGTGCGTGTGTGTGTGTGTGTGTGTGTGTGTGTGTGTGTGTGTATGTGTATGTGTGTGTGTGTGTGTGTGTGTGTGTGTGTGTGTGTGTGTGTGTGTGTCAGACACATCAGCGAGCATCAGTTCCTCATTGTCACATTATGGAATAACACGAACACAATAACACGAACACAATAACACGAACACAATACCAAAAGTACTGCAAACTTAGGACTTGTTTAGTACTTGATTTCTTCCCTATTCGTTTTCATATTTATATATAGATTCATGACCCATTTCTACGAGATAGGAATATTTTCTTTTTTTTATTGTCTTAATTGGGGATAAGAAATACGTGTGCGGTTCTGTTCTGAAAATATTATTTTGCTAATTGAGTATGTTCCTTGGCAGTTGTGTGGTACTTGACTGATACATGCCAGTAATACCAACACAATAGACTGGTATGTGTCTGAAAAATGTCAACAGAAACATCACAGTTGTCTGGTATTTGTCAGCAGTACCATCACAATAATCTGGTACGTGTTACTAGTAACTATCGCACATATGCAATAAAGTTGGTAGAATTATTGACAATATGTAAAGTAAAAGGACACAAGTGCAACTAATGTGACATTTTATTGTAGCAACGTTTCGCTCTCCAGGAGCTTTGTCAAGCCGATACAAACAGTACATGGACACAGAGGGTATATATAGGCTCAGAGTGAGGTGCAATACTAGTGGTAGTAGTAGTGATATAAGTAGTAGTAGTAGTAGTAGTAATACTACTAGTATTACTACTACTAGTAGTAGTAATACTACTAGTATTACTACTAGGCTCCTCACTCTTAGCCTATATATACCCTCTGTGTCCATGTACTGTTTGTATCGGCTTGACAAAGCTCCTGGAGAGCGAAACGTTGCTACAATAAAATGTCACATTAGTTGCATTTGTGTCCTTTTACTTTACATATCGCACATATGTTAATAAATGGTCTAGAAAACCGACAAATTGATGAGTCACATGTGCAACATCTGGGTATTTTCTGGAAACGTTTCGCCAGCTAGTTTCTACCTTAGTCCAATGCAGAGAAAGGTGGAAGATGAGGGGGAATTTAAGGCAATCAGTCCCTCAGCCTGGAGTCCATATGTTAGCCCGGACTGAACACATCGACTCCAGGCTGAGGGACTGATTACCCCAAACGCCTCCTCGTCTTCCACCTCTCTCTGCATTAGACTGAAGAAGCCACTGGCTGGCGAATCGTTTCCAGAATAAAGATACTCAAATGTGACTCATCTATTATACGAACGGCTGTGACTTCTGCTATACATAAAACAACAGTTACAAAAATATTTGATGCCTTCTCTGCTAACCTGGTGGCTTCACTGTTAACTTTGAAGGAGGAACGTGTGTAGTAGTGAATGGCGCCGTTCTTGTACTCCAGGTCAAGACGAACTGCATATTCTCGGCTGACAGTCATTTTGTGCAACATTTCATTGCCTGCAATGTAAATATATTTTTTTTAATATTAATAAAATGTGTAGCAGCATTTAGGTAGCTGTATACAGTTGCTTCACTAATATAAGACAGAATTCAGTAGTTGGAATAGACACTAATACACAGCATCATTAAGCCCTGGCTTGTTTTCTGTATACTGTGGTCTCTGCCAGTGTATGTCAAATTAACTAATACTTCTGACCTCCACTCATTCATATCAAATAAACTAATACTTACCTTTTGAACAAAGTTAACTAATGATGCAAACACTTCAAGACAAGAGAAACAGACAATATGATGCTGAGATTGCAATTAATAATGTTTATACTGTTAACTTTAAAATCAGAATGTGTCAGTATTAGAGAAAATTAACATATTTGGCAATGCCAGGTTACTGAAGCACTGAGAGCAACACGGTTGTTCAACTCATAGAAAACACTACATATGGACAAGGTTTATTCACGCTCTTGCAAAATTATATTTCTGGAAGAAATAAAATTAGTGTTTTCAAATACATATCGCGAATAATTTCATTCAGCTGGCATATTATTATGCCAAAGTAAAAGCACTAAGCCTGTAGGGGTCGTACAGTGCTATGGGAATGGTAGGTAGACAGATCTGATCTACGAGAAAGGGAGGGTTTCCCCCCATTCCATACATAAAAAAACTCATCGCAATTTAGTCATAGATGTAACTCCTGAGCATAATGTTAATAGAAGTGGCAAGGTAACTAAAGTGTGACAGCCGACAGGTGGAATACAGAGACACTTATGCAACATATGGGAATCTTTATTGGGGAAACGTTTCACCACACAGTGGCTTCATCAGTCCTATACAGAGTAGAAAGGTGTAAGGAGAGGAGGAGTTTGAGGTAATCAGTCCCTCAGCCTGGAGTCTGTCAGACACTGCAGCATCATGGTATCTTGGTACAAAGAATTCTTCAAAACTTGTCCAATCTCTGGACGAAGACCTACTTCGACTAGTGGATGGTTCCACTATGACCCCGCCTCCGCCTGCTTCACCTCACCTCACTACAGTATATAAGCCACGTCTACGGCCCTATGCTGTACTTTCTACAAGATTGATGGACTGAACACATCGACTCCAGGCTGAGCGACTGATTACCTCAAACTCCTCCTCTCCTTACACCTTTCTGCTTTGTATTGGACTGATGAAGCCACTGTGTGGCGAAACGTTTCCTCAATAAAGATTCCCATATGTTGCATGAGTGTCTCTATCTTCAACTTGTCGGTTTTTTAAACCATTTATCACAGCAGACAAGTGGTTAATTTTTTAAACACACACACACACACACACACACACACACACACACACACACACACACACACACACACACACCAGAAGGGCCAGAAGGGCTCATGGGAGCAGGGCAAAGCTGCTGATTATGGGTGACTTCAACCACAAGGAAATCGATTGGAAGAACCTGAAGCCACATGGGGGACCAGAAACGTGGAGGGCTAAGATGATGGAAGTGGTACTGGAAAACCTCATGTACCAACACGTAAGGGACACTACCAGAAAGAGAGAGGAGAGGATGAAACAGCAAGACTGGACTTAGTATTTACCTTGAGTAGTGCAGACAATGAGGACATCACATATGAAAGACCTCTCCGGGCCAGTGATCATGTGAGTCTGAGCTTCGAATGCATAGTAGAGTTACAAGTGGAGAGGGAAGCAGGAAGGGCAGGACGAATGAAGCCAAACTACAAAAAAAGGGAAATACACAGGCATGAAGAATTTCCTACACGGGGTTCAGTGGGACAGAGAACTGGAAGGGAAGTCAGTGAACGACATAATGGGATATGTGACAACAATTTGCGAGGAAGCTGAGTAGAGGTTTGTACCCTAGGTTAACAGAAATAACGAGAAAGCCAGGATGAGCCCCTGGTGTGCTAGAGAATGGAAGAAATACAGAAGGCAAAGGACCCAGGAGAATAAGGAGAGAAGTCGTAGAGCCAGAAATGAATATGCAAAAGTAAGAATGGAGGCCCAACGACAATATGAAAATGACATAGCAGCGATAGTCAAATCTGGCCCGAAGCTGTTGTATAGCCACATCAGGAGGAAAACAACAATCAAGGACCAGGTTATCAGGCTGAGGAAGGAAGGAGGAGGGATCACAAGAAACGACCGCGAAGTATGTGAGGAACTCAACCTGAGATTCAAAGTGTTCACAGAGGAAACAGACAGGACTCCAGAAAGACGGAGAGGTGGAGTATACCATCAACTGTTGGACACAATACATACAACCGAGGAGGAGGTGAAGAGGCTGTTAAGTGAGCTAGATACCTCAAAGGCGATGGGGCCGGATAACATCTCTCTATAGGTCCTGAGAGAGGGAGTAGAGCCGCTATGTGTACCTCTAACAATATTCAATGCATCTATCAAAACAGGGCAAATACTTGAGGTATGGAAGACAGCAAATGTACTCCCAATTTCTTTTAAAAAAGGAGACAGACACGAAGCATTAAATTACAGACCAGTGTCACTGGCATGTATAATATGCAAAGTCACGGAGAAGATTATCAGAAGAGTAGTGGAACACCTAGAAAGAAATGAGCTTATCAACGACAGCCAGCACGGTTTCAGGGACGGGAAATCCTGGGTTACAAACCTATTGGAGTTCTATGACAGGGTGATAGCAGTAAGACAATAGAGAGAGGGGAGGGAAGATTGCATTTTCTTGGACTGTGAGAAGGAGTTTAACACAGTTCCTCACAAGAGATTATTGCAAAAGCTGGAGGACCAGGCAGGGATAACAGGGAAGGCACTACAATGGATCAGGGCATACCAGTCAGGAAGACAACAGCGAGTCAATGTTACGTGGCGAGGTGTCAGAGTGGGCGCCTGTGACGAATGGGGTTCCACAGGGGTCAGTCCTAGGACCAGTGCTGTTTCTGGTATTTGTGAATGGCGGAAGGAATAGACTCCGAAGTGTCCCTGTTTGCAGATGATGTGAAGTTGATGAGAAGAATCCAAACGGACGAGGACCAGACGGAACTACAAAGGAATCTGGAGAGGCTGCAGACCTGGTCCAGGAACTTGCTCCTGGAGTTCAACCCCAACAAGTGCAAAGTCATAAAAATTGGGGTAGGGCAAAGAAGGCCGCAGACGGAGTACAGTCTAGGGGGCCAGAGACTACAAACCTCACTCAAGGAAAAAGATCTTGGGGTGAGTATAACACCGGGCACATCTCCTGAGGCGCACATCAACCAAATAACTGCTGTAGTATACGGGCGCCTAGCAAACCTAAGAACAGCATTCCGACATCTTAATAAGGAATCGCTCAGGATCCTGTACACTGCGTACGTTAGGCCCATACTGGAGTATGCAGCACCATTTTGGAACCCACACCTAGCCAAGCACGTAAGGAAACTAGAGAAAGTGCAAAGGTTTGCAACAAGACTAGTTCTACGAGAAGTTAAGGGAAATAGACCTGACGACACTGGAGGACAGGAGAGATAGGGGGGACGTGATAACGACATATAAAATGCTGAGAGGCATCTACAAGGTGGGCAGAGACAGAATGTTCCAGAGATGGGACACAGCAACAAGGGGTCACAGTTGGAAGTTGAAGACTCCGACGAATCACAGGGATGTTAGGAATTATTTCTTTAGTCACAGAGTTGTCAGGAAGCGGAATAGTTTGGGAAGCCATGTAGTGGAGGCAGGATCCATACATAGCTCTAAGAAGAGGTATGATAAAACTCATGGAGCAGGAAGAGTGACCCAGTAGCGGCCATTGAAGAGGCGAGGCCAGGAGCTGTGAATCATTCCCTTCAACCACAACTAGGTAAGTACACACACACAGTTAAAGTTGACTGTTACGCCAGTCGCAAGATACATTGAACATAGAAAGTCTCACCAAGCCAGTAGCAAAGTACGCTAAACATCGAAGGACTCACCGAGTCTACTAGTAGCAACGTACACTAAACATTACGCAAATAACCCGCACACAGGAGACAGAAACAAACTTACGACGACGTTTCGGTCCTAATGAGACCATTACCTAGTCACACAGAAGCACAAAGGGAAGGTAAGGGAAGGGAAGGGAGAACGAAGGTAGAAATAGAATAAAGGTAGAAGTAGTAGTAGTATTAGTGGCAGAGGTAGTGAATGTAGTAGTAGTAGTACCGGATGAAGAGAGAAACGAAATAAAAATAAGAGCACTGCAGGAGAGCTAATGGCCCGCGAAGGGAAGACCAAAAAACAGAAGGAAAAACTCACAAGACAGAACTCAGTTCTGGAACTCCTGCCTCCTGCACAGCACAGCTGTTGCACATGGCTTCTTTCGTTAGGAAGAGGACATGAGGATGTTCCAAAGACACAATCAACGACACGGACTTGGAAATGTGAGGTGCAGTTCTGGCGAAGGATCTGCGAAACCTCTCCCTAGACTCATAGGACAATGAGATAAGTGAAACCACCCGGGGCAGTAAGAGAGGGATGGATCAAGAAATGCTCATTCATGTCACAAAAATACTAGGTAAAGAAGGTTGGCAGGAAGTACGATCTCCGAGGTCTATGAGCCACAGTGTTTCCTTGCCTCAAATCGGACAAGCCAAACCATCTGTAGGCAATAAATTCAGGTTGATTAACAAAGGACACCACGACATCCAGTATGTTGCTATAATTCAACTGGAGAGGAAATATGGCTTAAAGATATCATTGTCCCCAAATATGAAAGAAAGTTTATCCTTACTCCCCGAAACAGAGTTCTATGAGGTACTGCAGAAGACGAACGGCCTCGAATCACCACATGTACTCACCAACGAAGCAGGTCTTGATCCAACATACAGGACCTTTCCCAGCTCAACTGAATCTAGGATGTTGGGGAAAATACCAGGTTAGGACCTACAACTCAGAACCTTTGAGGTGCTTCAGGTGCCAGAGGTACCAACCACCTCAGCGTCCGATGTCAATTTAAGGAAATACGCGGCATCTGCAGCGGGTCTCACCCGCTTGGGTGAGACCCGCTGCAGCAGACCCCATACAACAGGAACAGACTACCTCCAACGCGTCAACCCTAACACCACAACAGCCACCAGTGAAGAGCGCTGAAGACCAAGAGAACAGAGAAAGTCATGCCATATTACCCTTGAACGTTCAAATGATGATAATCACGTGCTTCATCGAGGCCATGTGCGACTTCATAAACTCTGTAGAAAACAAAAAGATTTTCAGAACTATTGTGAAACTCTTCTTGAATATATGCACGATAAACAAAACAGAGTCCATACATTTATTTGAAAATGTACACGACCACAGGACAGCTGAATTAGATAGACATCTACCCCACGGGTAAAGACCGCAGATTTTCAGAGATATGTTCGAGATCCTCAGACGGGTCATCTTAGGCTTAAGATACATGTCAGGGCGCAGTTTCAGACGAATCAGTCAATCAACCTTCGTGGTCACAGGTGTTCAATACACCCCCAGAGAATCTCAAATTCAGCAGAGCTTTTCGGAGAACACTGGCCTGGCATCACTTGAATCGAAGACTTGCTGTAACCCAGCAACAGGCCGTGGACGACGATTGTAGCTAACTGCTACACCACTTGTGCTGAAGAAGACTCACCATGCCCTTGTCACAGTTCTGCCCCGTCATATGTCTGTAAGCGGTAATCCACCTGACCTGAAAAAGACTCACCGTGCCCTTGTCATAGGGCTGCCACCCCAACAGGGCTGTAAACGGTACTCCACTTGACACGAATGCTCACCGTGCCCCCGCTATGTGGCTGTAAACGGTACATCACTTGTACAAACTCCGATACTCGGGGGGCCACTTCCGGGTCACCACATGGAGAAGACCCGGGCCAGGACCCGTCTTGACAAACGTATCTGAACCTGAACCCTTTGCGCTTCTGTGTAACTAGTTAATGGTCCAAGTCGCACCGAAACGCGTCTTAAGTGTGTTTCTTTCTCCTATATGATGGTCTGAGTCATGCTAAGAATATGTTACATTTTATTCGGTGTATATCACACACACATATAGACAAGCCCTCCAGACCAGCAAACCAGATGTTAAGTTTATTATGAGCGGGGCCCCCTTGTTCTGCTAACACTTTGGTTCAACCATTCAATGACAAGGAACCTCGACAAAGTTGTAAAGCGATGTGGGACACTCATGAATCAACATTGGCAGACTTACCTCCAAGTCTGGTCGAGAACGGTTCTCACCGTGTCTCTTGCTTACACTGCCTTTCTGTACATATGCTCTGTAAATATTGTACATATAATTGCTTACTTTTTAGTCAAGAAAATATATACAAGTATTTACTCACCGCTGTCTGTTGCTCCTTCCTTATTTCTACCTTGGTTATCGTGCTACAACCAGGTATGCAGGCCACAAGACTACACCTCTTTTCGTAATAGGGTTATTTGTGTATTGCTCCAGTCACGGTATTGTTCTCTTTTATTCTTTACACTGAACACTAAAAGTCTCACCTAGCCAGTATTCTTGAGAAGGTGAGCCAAAACCATCCTTGTACTCTGTCCACGACCTGTTAAACCTCTCTTGTAGGCTTTGGTTGAAGTTCTCTAGCTGACTTTGGTTTTCGCGTTTCAAGAAAACGGTCCATCCACCACCGTCCGTTTCCATGTCACAAAACACTGACACTGGCCTGGCACACTCGCACCTGTGGCAAATATTAATTCTCCTATATTAATTCTCGGATTACTTAGAGAATATATCTCCCTATAAAGTCCCTCCTGAAGAATATTTCACCAAGGGTGTTCAGTTTAAGAATATTTCCCAATAATGTCTTTCTGAAGAATTCCTTCTCCAACAGTTCGACCCACTCGAGAATTCTCTCTACAAACTAACCTAACCTAAAACAACTAAACCCAAATTAATCTAACCAAATCTAGTTTGAAAAGACTTAAGGTAAGAAGTGATTTAACATATTAGGACATCGTTGAACAGACTGAAGGCGTAGTAATTACTCAACACATTGAGGCCATAGTAGCTAGTGAACAGTTTCGGGTTGAAAGTCACCTAAATAAGGACCCGGGTGACGAACAACCAGTAAACACAAGAACCTGTGACGGCAGGTTCCTTGAACAGGTGATGGCGGTAACGTTGAAAATGTACTGGAAATAATTGCATTGATGATAATGACGCATTTTTATAAAGAAATGTTTGATAAAGGTGATAACCTGATCGTTAACAAGTAATACTCAGCTAATGTATCCCAGGTGAGTGTTAAATCATGGTAGGTGATGTTTGAGATACTCACGTGAAGGGGTAGATCTAGTGAGGTTATCACGTGAAGGGGTAGATCTAGTGAGATACTCACGTGAAGGGGTAGATCTAGTGAGATACTCACGTGAAGGGGTAGATCTAGTGAGATACTCACATGAAAGGGTAGATCTAGTGAGGTTATCACGTGAAGGGATAGATCTAGTGAGATACTCACGTGAAGGGGTAGATCTAGTGAGATACTCACATGAAAGGGTAGATCTAGTGAGGTTATCACGTGAAGGGATAGATCTAGTGAGATACTCACGTGAAGGGGTAGATCTAGTGAGATACTCACGTGAAGGGGTAGATCTAGTGAGATACTCACGTGAAGGGGTAGATCTAGTGAGATACTCACGTGAAGGGGTAGATCTAGTGAGGTTATCACGTGAAGGATAGATCTAGTGAGGTTATCACGTGAAGGGATAGATCTAGTGAGGTACTCACGTGAAGGGGTAGATCTAGTGAGGTTATCACGTGAAGGATAGATCTAGTGAGGTTATCACGTGAAGGGATAGATCTAGTGAGGTACTCACGTGAATGGGTAGATCTAGTGAGATACTCACGTGAAGGGGTAGATCTAGTGAGATACATGAAGGGATAGATTTAGTGAGATACTCACATGATGGGGTAGATCTAGTGAGATACTCACGTGAAGGGGTAGATCTAGTGAGGTACTCACTTGAAAGGGTAGATCTAGTGAGGTTATCACGTGAAGGGATAGATCTAGTGAGGTACTCACGTGAAGGGGTAGATCTAGTGAGATACTCACGTGAAGGGGTAGATCTAGTGAGATACTCACGTGAAGGGGTAGATCTAGTGAGATACATGAAGGGGTAGATCTAGTGAGATACTCACGTGAAGGGGTAGATCTAGTGAGGTACTCACGAGAAGGGGTAGATCTGGTAGACGCCACTCGATGCCCTCTGGCCTTTAATCAAGATGTCGGCACAGTCCGTGGGCCTGTAATACAACACACCACTTAAGACACCACATCTCAGCACACCACTTAACACACATCAACACACCACTTAATACACATCAACACCCCACTTAACATATCTCAACACACCACTTAACACACCTCAACACACCACTTAACACACCTCAACACATCACTTGAACTCCTATTGTTTATTCTCTCAAATACTTTATAACCATCAGGGTTACACTTTTAAATTAATTATAATAAGAATACCCTTCAAGGGTTTCCTTGATGTTGGTGGGAAGGGCTCTTGATCCAAGCAATTGGGCTAACCCCTTCTTCTTCCTGGGATCAAACTTGATCTCCTCACATTCCCCAAGTTTAACCTGGGGAATGTAAGGAATGTGTCGCCTTTAACGACAAGTTTAACCTGTCGTAAAAGGCAACTAAAAGGCCAGGAGCAAAGGCCTAGAAACCTCTTCTTATGTATTCAGTTGTTAAAAGGTCAAAGAGTAAAATTTTGATATGGGGGTGTTTGAAATAATTACCTGTAAACATTATGAATGAAAAGAAGCTGGATATCGTAGCACTAAGTGAAACAAAGTTGAAAAGGGTTGTATAATTTTATGAGGGAGGAGTAAATGGGATTGGGATGGGTGTATCGAAGAGAATCACAACCAAGGAAAAAGTAATGGTAATATTAAATGATCGATTATGGAAAGACAAGAGGGACTGTATGAGTATAAATTCAAGAATCATGTCGATCAGAATAAAGATGGGATGCCAGAGATGGGTTACAGCAATTTTGCTAACACCCAAGGGCGAAAAGATTGTAAAAGAGTTTTTGGGACGTATTAAGAGAATATTTAGAGAGTTTTGTGCCAAGAACATTATTGTTCTGGGGGGCGGGCTCTAAATGCTAAAGAAAAAGAGGCTGCTGTAGAGGGTGTAGTAGGTAAATTCGGAGTGCCAAAGGTAAATGGAGATGGGGGCCCTCTAACTGAGTTTTGTGTGGAGTGGAATTTGATAATACGAAATACTTATTTTGAGAAAAAATGAGGATAAGTATGCGAGATATGATATAGCTCACAATGCCAGCAGTATGCTAGACTGTGCATTAGTAGATAAAATATTAACAGATGTTCATGTTTTTAGAGGAGCGACAGATTTGTGAGAGCCTTATTTAGTGGTAGTTAGAGTGAGAGTAAGTGGTAGATGGAGACTGGTAGTAGTGGGTAAGAGGGAAGTGAAAATAAACAGTCTCGAAAAGATATAAGAAACTATTGGGAGAAAGGTAGGCTAGAGAAAGGGTAGGAGATGAGGAGGTCGAGGAAGTATGGGGATACATTCAAGGTATTACTACAATGTGCAACAGTGTTTGTGGGTATAGAAGGGTGAGCGCGGGTGGGAAGAGGAATGATTGGTGGAATGATGTGATAAAGAGGGAGGTAAGGGACAAAAATAATGAGAATAAGAGAGCTTTTTGCAATGTAAAACATAACCGGAAGGCAGAGTGTATGGAGAGGAAGTGGGTGGTAAAAGAGTGCAAAAGTAGAGGCAGTGAGAGAATGGGCCCGTCCAAATAAATTTTGCTTAAAATAGGAACCTGGTTTGGAAAGCGATCCAACGTGAGGGAGCCTGGAGAGCAAGTTAACCTAGCACTTAACAACGAAAGAGAAGAGATGCTAGATGGGTGCACGAATAGGATATTTTGACTATTTATTGAGTGTTCATGATGAATGGAAGGCAGTAATGTTATGCTTTAGGCAGGGAGAGATAACATTATATACTAGGAGCAGCCAGAAGTGATGTGGGAAAAATGTGAGACCATAGGTAGAATGAAAGAAGATAAAACGGCAGGGATAGATGGGATTATGATAGAGATGTTAAAAGAGGGTTGAGATACAGTGTTGAAGTAGTCGGTGTGTTCAAGATACAAATAAAAGAAGGGAAGGTATCAAAGTACTGTCAGAGGTGAACAGTTCCCTCATATAAGGGGAAAAGAGGACAAGAGATAATGTAAAAATTATAATAGGATAAGTCTTCTGACCATACCAGGTGACATTCATGGTAAAATTATTATTGAGAGTTAGGGGTAAGACAGAGTATAGGGTTGCAGAGGAATAGGGAGGATTTTGGAAGAGTAGGGGATATGTAGACCAAATTTTAATGATGATATAGGTGATCAGTACTTAAATAAAAGTACAGAGCTCAGAGCTATTAATTACATCTATGGATATAGAGAAGTCATAGAAAAGGGTGGATAGCAATGTCATAGGGCAGATACTGTAAGTTTCGACTAGGAGGGAGGTTACTTAAAGAAGTTAAGAATTAGTATTCCAGGAGTGAGGCTGAGGCTAAGGTCTGTAGGCAGGATGACGACTCTTCCTCAATAAAAGTAGGACTTAAACAGGCATGCGTGATAGCACTATGGTTGTTTAACATATTTATAGACAGAATTGTGAAACAAAAGTGTTAGCAAGAGGTGTGGGATTAAGAGACGCTGAATATGATACAAAATGGGAGTTATCAGTGTTGCCCTTTGCTGATGACACATGTCGTCTGGGAAATTTTGAAAACAATTTACAAATTTTGTTGGGCGATTTATGCTATACGTAAAAGAATATAATTAAAAGCGAACACAGAAGTGAGCAAAATGATGAGGGGGAACAAAAAAAAGTCTAGGCAATGATAGCTTGAATGTCAGATTTTAGGGAGGGAGTATGAAGGCAGTGGATGTATTTAGATACTCGGGAGCAGGCATGCAGCAGATGGATCTATGAAAAACGAGGTGAACCATAAAATAGATGAGGAAACCAAAGGTGAGTGGTGAGTTGAGGTATCTAGGGATAGAAGTTTATCTATGGAGACATATTAGTGTGAACCATGGGTTTTGAACAGTATCGAGAAGGAAGCTAGAGACTGGATATACTATGTACGAGATTAATGTGTAGTGTGAATATCATACAGAGAATTCTGAGGGCAAAAATTAATAAGAAATGTAAAGTTACCAAGAGTATAATTTAGAGGGCTGAGGAGGGGTTGTTCAGATGGCCTGGGCATATAAAGAGGACAGACAGGAATAGGATGACGCAGACGGCATATACATCTGAGATGGAAAGTAAGAAGGGTATGGATCGTCCCAGGAACGGTTGGAGGGATAGGGAAAAGAAGCTTTGAGTTTTAGGGGCGTGATCATTCAACAGGCTTATGCGTTAGAAAGAAATGAATGGAGGCAAGAGAATTTTAAAGAACGTGTGCTTTGAATGTGAGAAAGGTAACATTTATGAAAGAATTCATGGAAATTCAATAGCCAGTGCTGCAGGTTGGAAAGTCCAGTGCCTTCACTGAAGGAGTGTGGGGATGTTGCAGTCGGAAGGTGATCTGAATTGTGATGTCAGCACACTTTTGGAAAGACAGTGATTGAATGAATGATAGTGAATGTGTTTTCTTCTATAGGAAGATGGCCATTGAGGAAAAAATAATAATAATAATAACAATAATAATAATAACGTTTACACAAGGTTAAAATAACTTAGAAATAGTTAAAAGAAAGAGTCAACTCACCGGTCACCAGTGTCTGGTGGACTCTCCGTTGTGCTGTAAAGTAGAAACAATAAAATATATATTAATGTCGACTCTAAGCCTTCACACACTTCTAAGAGACTGCCTTCATGCACTGTATGGTTCCCTAGAGGCTTAGTGCTTCCTCCTGAATGTAAGTAAAAGGCTGGAGGCTCGATCCTCCAACAACGCAGACGGGAATACAAAGTGTCATAACCCAAATATGGCATCGGGTAAAAATGTTAGTATGCGAACCACTGGAGGATCTGAATCTCCGCTGGGTACTAGACCCTGTCAGCTAGTGGACAAGACTGGAGAGTTTAGTGGCCCGGCCACAGTTAATGTAATAACTGTAACCCTAAGATTGCCGTGATACACAATACCGACATGTAGACGAGCAATACACATATGCCATAGTTCGGTATCTTCAGAGACGAAGTGTTTCGCTTGCTCAGTGGGCTTCTTTAGTCGAATACAGATGTGATTTAACTACTGGAGACAGCACAAGCGGTTAAGAGGTAAATGTTAGTTGATCAGTCCCTCAGTTTCACAATGACTAAGGTTGTGCAGATGAACACTTAGGAAGGAATAATGACCTCAGAATTACCTCTTCTCCAAGACTGAGGGACTGATCATATCACATTTACCCCCACACTGTATTAGACTAAAGAAGCCAGATGAGCAAGCAAAACGGTTCGACAGTTAAGATAGCCAACTTGATACCCATGTGTGTTTTCCTCAGCCAAAGTACAAAAATATTGATCTCTAGAGGTATATACTTGGAAAAATGCACTTGTCAGTGTGTGTGTGTATATATATATATATATATATATATATATATATATATATATATATATATATATATATATATATATATATATATATATGAGTGTAAAACGAAAGCCTGTAATTGTTTTACATGATGGTAGGATTGCTGGTGTCCTTTTCTGCCTCATAAACATACAAGATTTCAGGTATGTCTTGCTACTTCTACTTACACTTAGGTCACACTGCACATACATGTACAAGCATATATATACACACCCCTTTGGGTTTTCTTCTATTTTCTTTCTAGTTCTTGTTCTTGTTTATTTCCTCTTATCTCCATGGGGAAGTGGAACAGAATTCTTCCTCCGTAAGCCATGCGTGTTGTAAGAGGCGACTAAAATACCGGGAGCAAGGGGCTAGTAACCCCTTCTCCTGTATATTACTAAATTTAAAAAAGAGAAACTTTCGTTTTTCTTTTTGGGCCACCCTGCTTCGGTGGGATACGGCCGGTTTGTTGAAAGAAGAAGAATATATATATATATATATATATATATATATATATATATATATATATATATATATATATATATATATATATATATATATATACAGGGTATTGAATATAAATGATGAAGGTTACCAGTACTCCTGTATACCAATAGGCAGTAGAGGTTTAACATGCTTCAAAAAATAGTTCTCAGGTACATAACGAGTAATTAGGTGGCTTCACCTAAGACAACGTAATAGTTAGATCAAACACAAACACACACACACACACACACACACACACACACACACACACACACACACAGTTATTAATTGACAATGATTATTTGATTTCTGTTGTGACACAAATGAAAACAGTACAGTCATCTTACTCTTCAAATGATCCTTCGTCGTAGGGAAGTTGTTTGCCAGCTTTGCCAGTGCTCACCGCTACCTGTGGAACGTTACAATTTATCTCATAAATCTGCGCTATTACAATCCACATCAGTTTAAAATACCATTTTATTGCATTCCTGAATGAGAAAGTGTAGCTGTACCTCCCGATTGTCGTCTGAGCTGACGGTAGTGATGACGACAGCCATCACACCCACCCACAAGCACGCCCACACCGCCCTCATCTCACTCTCCTGGCTTATAACTGAAAATTAACCCAAAAAAAGAGAAATATTATAGCTATATTTTCTCATATAGTGCAGAAGAAGCATATTATAGTAATTAATGAACATTGCTATATAGCTGCGAGCTAAGCCTTCTAAACTGTTTGGCCAAACATGAAATTGAAGTCAAAGTTATTTTGGAAAAACATAGTTACTTTGGAAAAATAAAGTTACTTACGAAAAGCGAAGTGACTTTGGAAAAACTAAGTTACTTTGGAAAAACAAAGTTACTTTGGAAAAACAAAGTTACTTTGGAAAAACTAAGCTACTTTGGAAAAACTAAGTTACTTTGGAAAAACAAAATTACTTTGAAAAAATAAAGTTCCTTTGAAAAAACAAAGTTACTTTGGAAAAACACGAAAGCTGAGTCAAAATAATCAAGGCAGGATGTGACAGATCAACTAAGTCGATGCTAAGGAGCGGGCCCAAGAGTTGTAGTTTGACACCCAATAAACTAAGTGATTGCTAAGTACATTATAACAACATCAAATGATGATATCTTTCACTTTTGTAGGGATGGATCGGTAAGCCAGCGTAAGGCGTCGACGGGGGGAAGGCCCATGACGATGTCATACCTAATTGCTAACTACAGAGGCGGCGTTTAACACACAGGAAGCGGTAGAGCATCTTAAAGTGTCAGAATATTATGTTAGGTAAAAAGGACATATATGCATTTTATTGAAACAACGTTTTGCTCTCCAGGATCTATGTCAAGCCGTAATGGCTTGACAAAGCTCCTGGAAGCGAAACGTTGCCTCAGTAAAATGTCACAGTTGCATCTGTATCCATTTACCTAACATTCTGAGGGTAACTCTACCATTTAAAAATATTATATTTACTTACAGTCAACTAGTTTTAAGAAGTGTTGCTTCCTTGAGCGAATGTGATAATGAAAGCTGCAGGTGACTCTGGCAGTGAAAGTCTGGTATTATATACAGACTAGCGTGGCAGACTGTACCGAGTTGGATTTTATACTGCTGCACCGGATCGTTTGGTACATGGTCACTGCAATACGTCCAGGTCTCATAAAAGAGCATTCATCAGTAGCACCTTTATCGCACCTCGTTAAACTTATATGTCGAGATATCTTGTTAGTGGAAATAAGAGACGAGATATTTTGAGCAAGTATCCTAAATTTGCTTGTAAGAAATGAGATATAAATTAGAAATATATACACAGATGTTGGTCTGTCATTACCGTTTTTAGGGTTGTGTTACTAGGCCATGTGTGTGTCTAATTTGGTCCCCGAAGGGAAGCCTTAAAGTGGTTACTTTAATTTTTTAAGGTATACCCGAAAAGGAACCTAAAGTGGTTGCCTGAGTTTTTTTTTTCCCTTCCTCCAACTCTTCGTTTTTATCTCGCTCATAACTCGAGGCCTCATCCAGTCGGCTTCAAAATTTCAACGTCTGAGCACGGTCACTAGGGACACATTCTTTGAAGAATAGTCATGTGCGGGAGCCCTCTATCAAAGTTGTTAAACATATTGTGAACCTCCTGGCATGACTCAGTGTAGCTTGAAACGACAAACTAAGATTCTTCTCAAGCAACGCAACAAGTTGCTCCAGATGATCCTCGATAAACAACTCTGTTGTGTCAAACTCGGTCGCTAATAAACTTCTTGATTTCTTTTTTTACGATGGCGGTAAATTATATAAAATACCGACACGATGGAAAAATAAACGCAAATGCAGTATAATGCGATCCCTTTTTTTACCCAAGCAAATTTCTCAATATCTTATGCATCCTTGTATCCATTCATCGTGCTCGCGCTAACCTTACTGAGTGACTAGTTTTTCCTTGGTAAGATGGCCCAAAACCCCTGCTACGGGTCATCATATGACTAAGACCCGAGTCAAGAAACACTTGTCCTGTTCCCTGACAAACCTAACCTAACCTAATTTTTCTTGCTCATGGCATCAATTTTTCTCCTCTCTACAACTCGCGAAATCGTAACACGATTATTTACCAAAACCAATTGAATCCTAACACGGAGCCGGTTCCTGCAAAGAGCAATGAATGTCGATAAACCTGATATCTCCCATGAACTTGTACATTTTGCAACTCCTTCAAATCAAGTTTCTATCTCGATTCTAGTTTATTCCCCCCAAAAAAAATTCCCGTTAAAATAAATACTTATTTACAATATTAACAATAGCTTACATGACTCTTCTTACTATTAACAATAGCTCGGGGTACAAGGCTCAAGAAAGTATTTTTATTCAAATTAATAACCTGGATGGTTAATAAACCAGGACAGCCCAAGAAAGCTAAGCAGTGAGAATTATTTCCATTGTGGGACCTTTGGTCCTCTTCCCTACAACAGCCAGCTAACACCGAGGTGCCCAAAGCAGCCGGCTACAACCGAAGTGCCCACCCATTCGCTGTTACTAGGAAAGGGGCAGCTGATGTAAGGAAAAATGCGCAATTTCTCCACCCGTCCTAGGATCAAACTCGGGTTCTGCAGTTGTGAGTCGAAGATGCTATCACGAGTCGTGAACTGAGGTACGAACCACGAGTACGAGAATAGTTTTACAATAATGTTTTAAAATAACAATGTGTTTATGTCGCTTGTGCTTATTCGATCTCATTTCCAATCATTGACTCCTGTCGGAAAACAAATATTTATTAACGATTGCAGACTGGCTAGGGCGTCGGTCTGGAGTTTTATGACTCTCCGCTCGCGGGTTCTATCCCCACCCGTGGTATAGTTTGTTTGCAATCGTGTCAATACGATTTCGTGAGTCTCGATTGTAGACTGCTTTGTGGAGATTTGAAGGGATACTTTCGTGAGTGTTCGTGATTGGAAAAGGAGAGTAGCATGGAAAAAAGAAACAGCCGATAAATATTATTAAAGAGACCCAAGACAAGAGAACATCCTTGACTGTAAACCTGATACTTAATACCCTTAAACTGTCCAAAAGTAGATCTACGTTTTTTCAACATTGGAAATTATGTAAAAAAAAGTAATCTTTTTTTTTTTACATTTGAAAACGTGTAAAAAACTTTGATCTACGTTTTTTTGTTATATTTGAAAATATATATAAAAATGTTGATCTACTTTTGGAGCACTACGCATATGGACGTAGGTCGCTTGGACAGTTTAAGGGTTAATACTGATAGGTTGTAGTTACAGACACGTGAAGAACCACTAAGAACAGTTAATTATGAAAACTGTTACGGTGCTGGGACCTTGTTCATCAGCATGCTGTAGTGAACAAGGTCTCTCGGACCTTGTTCATCAGTATGTTGTAGTGAACAAGGTCCCTGGTACCTTGTTTGCTAGTACGTTTGTAGTGAACAAGTCCCTGGGACTTTGTTCACCAGTATGTTTGTAGTGAACAAGGTCCCTGGTACTTTGTTAGCCAGTATGATTGTAGTGAACAAGGTCCCTGGGACCAGCATGTTTGTAATGAACAAGGTCCCTGGAGAGTCTGTTCACGTGTTTTTAACCACAGCACAAGAACCACGTTTCTCTCACACATAGTAAGCACCAAGTGTAAACTCTACAATCAAGGAATATTAACATGCCACAAAAGAGGACACATTGGGAAAATGAAAAATAGAAAAAGAATTGCATATATTGGCTCTTAACTGGGACTCACTTTATGAGAGTTTGTGCTGTTGATCAGTGGTTATTGCACATTTGTTTTTCCTAAGGCAGGTGAGAAATGGAGGTGAAAATGAAATTGAACGAGAGTCCAGCAGTAGCAGTAGAAAGAGAAGAAATAGAAGCATTATTAGCAGGAGCAGTATTAGCCGAAGGAGCATTCACAGAAGCAGTATTTAGCAGAAGAAGCATTAGCAGAAGCAAGCGGTAAGTTACAGAAGCAATACTCTCTGGCCCAAGTACTCTCCTCAGGTATGACATTTTTTTTAAGCATGTTCTCGAGGATATATCTCTCTCGAGGATGCTCTCACCGAAGCTTTCAGTGATGTTCCTGATGTTGTCGATGATGTTCTCAAAGATTTCCGAGAAGACAAGGATAAGGGCGTTCTTCATCTTGGCGGTGATAAGCTCAGCCATACTCCTGGATGATAGTTTCTTCTTCCTTATTGTTCTTACGTGCCTTACAAGATCCTTGACAGTTCAGGTATAAAGTTAACTAAAAATTATAGGGGCTTTTAGCTCCTCAGTTTGGTAGTCAAATTTTGTCTGGTTGACGGACCAGTGGACCAGTGGACCAGTGGACCAGTGGACCAGTGGACCAGGGGTAACTCTTCCGAGCCCACGCCACAGAACGAACATGACCAATGAATAGGTCAGCATGTGGCAGCATGTGGCAAAGATTCATGTCAGGGAATTTACGGAGACGAATAATGCAACAATAACTTGGGTAAAAACTGACATATTTTTGGTCTTCGGAAAGTATATTAATACAGGGGTAGACCACCGCAAACTTGCCACCAAATTCTTGTCACTTCATCTCATCTAAGAAAAAGGTTCCCCTTTAGTGACAGAATGTGAAAAAAAAAGTATTAGCATTTTGTGCACATGACATAATAGAGATACAGACATGTGTGCACAGGGCTCCTGGCCAGCAAAATGTGATCAGTCAATTTCAGTAATAAAGACATACAATGGTAACAAGTCAACCATGTCCTAAATGAAACAAGCTGGGAAGATATCCTAAACAACATTTGCCCACAAAAAATAAACTCTACGATTCTTGAAATCTGCTCAAAGTACATTCCATTAAGAAAAAGTGAAGATGTAAATTAGAAAGAGAGAGACGCTCCCTATATTTGTAATACGAAGGGAGGCACTGGTCAATGAAATTACAAATATCGAACTTAAGCTGAAAGAATTATACAGGAGACAAAAATCGCACGAAGAACTAAAAGGCATAACTGAAATTAAAAAAAAAAAAAAATCTTCTCTTATGCTAAATCTAAGCCTAAGGGAACAACACCCAGTATTGGGCCCCCGCTTAGGCGGGATGGGACATATACAGATGACAGCCAAGAAATGAGAGATACTAAAGTCCCAATAAGACTCAGTGTTCAGCGAGCCGCTGCCCAGACTAAGGGTCGACAATCCAAATGAATTCTTTATGAACGAGACCCAAAATTTAGTCATCTCAAAAATCTCGGATATTATCCTACCACCATAAGACTTTGAAAAGGCAATAAATGACATGCCCATGCACTATGCCCCAGGCCCAGACTCGTGGAACTCCGTGTTCATCAAGAACTGTAAGAAGACTACAAGAAGGCATGGACACATGGACACGCGAGAGAGAGCATGGACATACGGGTCATCCCACACTCACTAAAAACAACAGACATAGCCCCACTCTAAAAAGGTGGCAGTAAAGCAATTGCAAAGAACTACAGACCGATAGCCCTAACATTCCATATCATAAAAATCTCTGAAAGGGTTCTAAGAAGCAAGATAGCCAGCCACCTAGATACCCACCAATTACACAACCCAGGGCAACACGGGTTAAGAGCAAGTCGCTCCTGCTTGTCCCACCTACTGGACCACTATGACAAGGTCCTGGATGCTGTAGAGGACAAACAAAATACAGATGTAGAATACACAGACTTTGCAAAAGCTTTCGACAAGTGTGACCATGGTGTAGTAGCGGACAAAATGCTTGATAAAGGAATAACAGGAAAAGTTAGTAGATGAATCTATAACTTCCTGACAAATAGAACACAGAGAGTAATAGTAAACAAAGTTAAGTCTGAGGCAGCTACGGTGGAAAGTTCTGTTCCACAAGGCACACTACTCGCCCCCATTCTATATCTCATCATCATATCTGATATAAACAGAAATGTAAGCCATAGCTCCGTGTCTTCCTTTGCGGATGACACCCGAATTGCCATGACAGTGTCCTCCATCGAAGACACCGCAAGATTCCAAGCGGACATCAACCAAATCTTCAAATGGGCTACTCAAAACAATATGAAGTTCAATGAAGAGAAATTTCAACTACTCAGATATGGAAAACTTGAGGAAATTAAAACTGTATCAGGGTATACGACAAATTCTAACCATA